TCAATGTCTATTTGACCCTCTAGTTCTAGAATATCAGGGCAGTTTTCCGTGTTAATTTCTTGAAAGATGATGTCTAGGCTACTTTTTTGATCATGGCTTTCAGGTAGTCCAATAATTCTTAAATTATCTCTCCTCAATCTATTTTCCAGGTCAGTTGTTTTTTCAATAAGTTATTTCACATTTTCTTCCATTTTTCATACTTTTGATTTTGTTTTATTGTTTCTTGATATCTCATGGAGTCATTAGCTTCCATTTGTCAAATTCTAATTAAATAATTAAGGAATTATTCTAATTACATAGTCAAGGAATTATTTTTTTTAGTGAGCTTTTGTACCTCCTTCTCCATTTGGCCAATTCTACTTTTTAAGGAGTTCTTCTCTTCACTGGATTTTTGTGCCTCTTTTACCACTTTGCCTATTCTGTTTTTAAAGTGTTATTTTCTTCAGTATTTTTTTTGTGTTTCCCTTACCAAGCTGTTACTTTTTTTCATGGTTTTCCTGCATCACTCATTTCTTTTCCCATTTTTTTTCTCTACCTCTCTTGAGTTTTTAAAACCTTTTTGAGCTCTTCCAGGATTTTTGGGGGCCTGAAAGCAATTCACATTTTCTCTGAGGCTTTGGATATAGCAGTTTTGACTTTGTTTTTTTCTAAGTTTGTATTTTGCTCTTTCTCGGTCAGGTTCTTTTTTTGTTGTTTGCTCATTTTTCCAGCCACTAGTTGAGTGGTGGTGGTGGTGAGGTATGTAAGTTGTCAGTTCTTCCAAGGTGATATGATCTAAGGAGAAGTGTGTTTACTACTCTCCTGGCCTGTGAGCAACCACAAGCATTATTTTCCACTCTGGAACCATGATCAGAGTTCCCCCCATATCCACAAGCTCTAGTGTGCTAGTGCTTCTCCTCACCCTGCATATGGACAATTGACCCAGATCTGTGTATGGACAATGCAAGAGTCTTCTATTTAGGACCAGCAAAGAGACCCCTGTAATCTCCTTCTGACCAGCTGTCTGATCCCCTTACACTCCATGGGTTAAGAGCTCTGGAGGCTGCCATTGATTGCGTCTCCTCCAAGGCCTACTGTGGATTTGCTGGGGAATAGCCTTTGCTGGTACAGCCTGTGCTGGACTGCACTCCATTTTCATCTCAGTGTGACAGACCTTTCCTGCCGACCTTCTAAGCTGTCTTGGGCTGGAGAATTGTTTCACTCAGTCCTTCTGTGGGTTCTACCATTCCAGAATTTGTTTTGAGGGATTATTTTTTATATTAATTTATTTTAGTTTTCAACAATTACTTTCATAAGATTTTGAGTTTTAAATTTTCTCCCCTTCCCTCTCCCCCCTCCTTCCCAAGATGGCATGCAATCTGATACAGGCTCTACATATACATTCATATTAAACATATTTTAACATTAGTCATGTTGTAAAGAAGAATTAGAACCAACGGGAGGAACCACAAGAAGGAAGAAACAGCAACAAAAAAGAAAGCAAATAGTATGCTTCTATCTGCATTCAGACTCCAAAGTTCTTTCTTTGGTTGTGCATTTTCCATCATGAGTCTTTTGGAGTTGTCTTAGATCCTTGCATTGCTGAGAAGAGTCAAGTCTATCAAAGTTAGTCATCACACAATGTGGCTGTTACTGTGTATAATGTTCTCCTGGTTCTGTTTGCTTCACTCAGCATCAGTTCATATAAGTCTTTACAGGTTTTTCTGAGGTCTACCTGCTCATCATTTCTTATTCTTATTCCATTATATTCTTATACCACTTGTTCAGTCATTCCCCAGTTGATGGGCATCCTCTCAATTTACAAATCTTTGCCACCACAAAATGAGTTGCTAAAAATATTTTTGTTCATGTGGGTCCTTTTCCCATTTTTATGGTCAATGCATATTTAGCTTTTTAGAAATATACAAGTTCAGATGACTAGATCTAATTATTCATAGCTGATCTAAATGTGAAGAGTGACAGGACTTCTAGCCAAAATTAAAATTCCTGATGCTTCATTTAAAAAAAACTTAATGTATACAAAACTCTATTAAGATGAATTTATTTTTTTTAAATTTTATTCTGTATTGTTAAAGCTTGTTAAATTGTATCATTTGTTATTTTAACATTCAATAACTTAACTAACTACACACCATTTTAAAAATATACAACTTAAAAGAGCTTTCTGCACTTATATAAATGAGCCTACAGATTGCATGTTAGAGGTCTGAAAAGCAAGGCTGGACTTTGCATTCATCTTGGATTCTACTGGAGTAAGTTTCCTCTATAAACCAAATTTAAACAAACAGTGCTAGAAAAAGAAAGTCACAATTCAAAGACTCATGATATCTCAAACCCACCAATACACTGGCTTGCAAATTACTCGGGACAAAGTAATTTAATTTATTGACGTACTTTAAATAAACATTACAACATTTTACATTCTTGTTCAATGTCCTTATTTTATAGCAATAGTTTGCTTTTTATAGCAGTAAACTTTTACAGCAATAATTTAAATGATTTGCTACTGAAATAACAAGATTTTCACAAATATTCTTTAATTCTTTATCAAGAAATCATTTTTGTGTTAGATATTAAGCATACCTCTGACAGTCCATTTTTCTAAGTCGAGGCTTAATTATAGTTCACAGTTTTTCAATAGTGTTTAAATCAGGCAAGTTCCCAATTCATTGATGCATGTTTATCTCCATCTCTTAGATTCATTTCCTGACCTTTTGTGACAGGTCGCATTGCTGAGTTGCAGTATTCTATCTCCAAAAGGGAATTTCTATAATTTCATAACAATTCTGCTCTTTATTATATCAGTATATTTATCACAGTTCACCATTCCCTCCATGGGAATAAAACTGGAAATATTACAATATAAACAAACAACAAAACAACCTGAACCCCAGTCATATTTTGGGGGCAGAGGTTTGATAGTTTAATGAAAATACCCAGATCTTAAGGCTTACCTGGATTTCTTCCAACAATGGTTTTGTTCTAAAGATTTAACTGAAAAGTTCCATCAGTAAAATTTATCTTTTTCCAATCTTCATGGCTCCAGTTTTTATGTTCTCTTGTCCATGACAAATATTTTTTCTTCACTGGAATGGTTAGCAGCTTTTTTTAAAAAAAATTTTTTATTTCTTTTTTTTTCAAACCAGTCTTCTTGATGTTCGTCTGACTACAAGAAGTTCATACCACTATGGAAAGGAATCAATAACAACCCTTCCAGGAGCCAAGTTCCTCTGAAGGAAGCTCTGCTTATTTTCTGAGGATCAATCAGGCTATTCTGCGGCAATAGTTTGTCAATTCTTGGTGGTGTTTTTCATTTTTGGCCACATTTTACTTTGTACTTTGTACAACTGGTCATACTTCATTGTGGACTTGAATGATCCTTGAAAAGTTTGATTTTTCAATACTAACAGTTGCTGCTCTATCTCTAACAGTCAGTGAAGCGTGCTATTGAAGAGGTAAAATTTTTACACATTTCCTGGCAGTAATAGTGATTCTCAAAACACACAGAATTTAAAACATAACAAAAGAGAACAATCAGACATATGCATATGGCATGAAACCTGTAAACTAACCTACAGAGAACTAAGTAAAAGTCAGGAAACCAACTCAATTCATTTTCAGTTGGTCATGGTCAGATATGCAGAGGTAGACTTGTGTCAAGCACACTCACATGATAATTTCAATCACAAAATGAAAACATAAAATTACTATATGAACCAAGTAACACACTACTGTAGAAACAGAATGAGATATTTTCTCTGGCAAACCCAGGAACGTACAAATTTCCCTGGGTCTCAATTAAATATTTTAGTTCACTTTGTTTTTTACTCATTATAACCTCTCTGAAAAAAAACTCTCCTGGTTGGGACAATATCAATAGGTTTTCTTCTTATTTTTTGCATTACACTATATGACCAAAGTCCTCTTTTCACACACACACACACACACACACACACACACACACACACACACGCACAATCACTTTCTCTTACCTTTTTTTTCCCATACTAGGACCAAATCACCTTTAATCACCTCTGCCTTTATCGCGTTTTGAGTTAACTGGAACTATTAAGTTAAAGAACACTTTTAAGCATATTTTTCATTACTCTCTATGTCCAAAGTTAACTGTGATAAATGTGCCTAAGAGACAAGTGAATAACAAAAGGTCAAAATGTCTCTGACCTATAACTCCAGCTGAGTTGTGTATTACAAATTTAAAATCCTATCATCAAACAGTGTGAGATGACCAGTGCTACAAATAAAATAATTAATATAGGAGAAAGTGGGAGGGAAAAGAATAAGAAATCTCTTAAGAGGCAGGAAAACTGAGCTTGGTAAGCACAGGACCAACTCTAAATTACTCATCTCTTACCATCACCTCAGGATTTCTTTTGCAATTTGGAATTGTGCCTAAGTGGAACACACAGATCTCAAACTGCTGAAGAATTTTGTAACATCAATTACTAGTAACAAAAGTATGTTAATGTTTCTTATTTTACCTTACTTTTCTGTTACTTAATAATGATATTACAAATCACTTTTTTATGTATCAAAAGGTAACTTATGGGTAGTTTCCATAATTTAATAATTTCAAAGGAAGAATGAAAAAAAAGTACTCTTAAAAATAGCTGAATATGTACATTTCCCTCCCCCAACCCAATTTCTGAAACAGAATAAAATTCTCCT